AGAATAATGTGTTGTAAGTGAAAGAGATGTGTTTGGTTTGTTAGTGAAACAGAATAATGTAATCGAAATGAAAAGGATGATTTTGATTGTTAATGAAACAGAATAATGTATTATAAATGAAAAAGTTGACTTTGTTAATGAAACAGAACAGTTTAATCTAGATAAAAGAGATGACTGATTGATCATGAAACTAAACAATGTATTCTGAGTGAAAGAGAAATTTGATATTAGTTATAAGATCATTGTATTGTTAGTGAAAGTAAAACTTATATTCATTACATTAATGAAACAAAATAGTGTGTTATTTGTAAAATAATAATTTAAATTGTTAGCAAACCAGAACTGTGTTAGTTAATGAAAAGGAAAGCATATTGTTAAAAGGAATAATAACTGAAGATTATTTGTGACCCAGAGCAATGGATTACTAATAAAAAAAATGATTAAGATTTGTAGCATCATGGGAAATTATTATTTCTTAAAGTATTAATTAAAAAGCTAATGAGCTAATAATTTTGAATATTAATACAATTAGTTATTGGTCAAACTAGGTTTTTTTTTAACCTGTGGAGCAACATAAGCTATTATTAAACAAAAAAATAGCCAATGTTGGTGAAACTTGTCAATAGCTTTGTATTGGAAATAGAATATTGAATCATCAGTAAAATAGTAGATTAGATTTTTCATGAAATAGCAACCTTGAAATAATTTATTCTTAGATACAAAGTTTGGCTTTTCATCAATCATCTTGTGTTTCAGTATTGGGTATTTACCATGGGTAGCCTTAAACATGCTGTTAATGGGACAACCAGGCTAGCACCACGTGTCAGAAAATTCTCTCTCTCCGTACTTGAACAAAGAGACCCTTGTGAAAGACTAGTACTGGTAAAGATTCCTCTTTGGCATGTTACTAAGTGTTGTGTTTCAACATCAATTATGTGCTGAATACCCATAAATATGTTCGTTACACGTACAGCAATGAAATGTTTAGTCACAAAGAAAATTACAGTGTCACTCAATAGAGTAACAGCATCATCTGGTTAACAGTGTTTCATCAAAATTCTCTCTGTTTTCACCTTTATGGTTTGTGTTATGCTCACTAAATACTGTATCCCTCTCCTACTTAATGTAATGCATAATTTAATGGAAGAACTATGTGTTTAGAAAGTTAGCAAAAAAACAGTTGTTCTTCCAGTGTCATAATTCTTTATTAAAGAAACACTATCATCTGTAGTTCTAAAGGTTTTAGTCAGTGTTTTTATAGCATGATTTGCATGATATTCTCTTGTGTTAAATCTTTGCCTGAAACTGAATTTTAAAACTATGTGAAAACTGAGTTTCTGTAAACAGGGATGTTTTAGGGTCTCTAAGATAGAACAAAAAAAAGTACTGAGAAGTTTGTTTTTAGATATCAAAATATAGAAATAAGATAACAAATACTTTGAAGCTGAAATTTTTGAAATATGTATGAAATTAAAATCTTAAGTAAGCTTTAATGAACCAATTGTTTTATGAAGGTTTAATTAATATAATTTATTGAAATGTAAAAGAAAATGAAAAAGTTTTAATTAAGATTTAATCCTATCCAGACTGGTGAGCACCTTTCAGGTGTTCAATGCATATAAATTTCTATAAAAATAATAATTCTAACTCTATTTCAAGAATTTTGTATGAAAAAAACATTTTATGCTTGATAATTTGTTATTTAGTAACATTTATTTAGTACAATTTGCAAATAAGAAAAAACAAATGTTCAAACTTACATTTCTGTACAGTTCTGTCCATCTCAAAACATAGGTTTATATTTGCTAAAAAACTATGAGCCATTGAAAAATATGTTCTCAAGGTTTTTGTTTATCAAGTAATTTCTTTTTCTCTGATTTTATTAACACAACCTCTTGTTCCCACCATTTTATGATCTCACAGCATGTCTTGAGAACAACTACTGATGAAGCACAGCTTTGAAAATAGCTACTGGCAATGTTTAAGTACTATTGGGTAGAACACATTGTTAAATATAGAGTGGTGTGAGAAATAATTTATAATTTCCTGGGAAAGTGACAAGACATAGTTCCTTCAAAGAGGAATAACACACTCTAATGAGAAATTTACAAGACCTAAGAATACACAGATCTGAGAGTTTTTGTAGAGCTCCTTTAGGCATTCTTTTTGTTCCTAAAAATTTTTTCATATTCAGTGATATTGCTTGAAAGCTATTTTCTTCTTTTACAAGACATCAAGTAAGCATAGTTAGATTTATAAAATGTTATAGATGATTGCAGAGTAATCTGATGATCAAATCCTTATTTATTGGATATTATTGTTGCATTTATTGTATTCAAGCAACATCGTTAAGGAAGATAATTTATAATTTATTGGAAAACAAAACTGTAGTTATTAGATATAAATTGACCAAGAAGATTGTTACCTAGCCTGACCTGATGTGACAGATTAAGCTGTAATCTTTGTTAGTTTTATGCAGCATATTTTTATGATTTACAGCTGGAAGTGGTGACTACAATAGTCAATTCAATGATTATTGAAACAAATATTTTATTGAATGTCAAGTTCAAACTTTCTGATCAGCAAGAAGAAATTTAAAATTCTAAGATAAAAGCAAATATTTTCAATATTTTAAAAGTTTCACAAGGTAAAAAAATAATAGAAAAAGAAGTAAAATTATATGACCTTTTAAAGAAAAACCTAGATACTATTTAGTGATCTTTTAGTTAGTCTCATCATGCAATTTAGTTAAGTATTTCCATTGTAATAGATAAAAAAGTCAATGGCTCTCAATTATTCTGTCTGGAAAGGGTTAATATTCTAAAAAAGATAATTTTATCTTCTGTAGTTGGGGTGTTGACATACTTGAAGCATTCATTGTTATCCATTCATTAAGCATTATTTATAAAGCTTATGGGAGTTGAAACTTTTAAAATTATGTTCTAGCCTGATTTTTGTACTTTGCTAAATGCATTTTCTAATCGCATGCTCCTCTGTGTCCATTCAGGGTACTCAAGTAACTCCTGAAAGACGATGTTGCTCTCGGCCTCCTAGTGTCCTAGGAAATGAGTTTCCATCTCTCAGGTCTAAATCAATCTGTGAACAAAGTTCACACCTGATGCCACCTCGGCCTCAAAGTAAAAAACCTTCTGGTTAGTGTTTTGAATCTAAACTTCAAAGGTTTTTTAAAATATTTCTAAAGAACAAAACATTTAAACTTACTACCGGATGTGTTTAATCTCACAATTAAGTATTTGTGACATGTACACATGAACTAATCTTTTAGCTATATTCTTTAGACTTGATAAACACCAAATTTTCATCATTCATTAAAGTATGTCTTATAGTTTCATATATTTAGCTTAAACTTCAATAAATATTGTTTTCTACAGCTCCTAGCTTCTTTCATAAAGGTTATAGAGCCCTGAACTCAGTAAACTATATTATATATAGAGCTCTTAACCCTGTTAGCTATGAAAAAATAGGTAATACACAATACCATGTAAAGTAATTTACAATATAGTTTAAATCCACACTAATAGAACAATACCAAATTTAAATGAAACTAGTTTCAACATTTCACGTGTCCTCTTCAGTCCAATGTTTGTTTGTGGGAGAAACACATACACTGCTTATTTTATAACAGAAGGTCTAATTCCTTGAATGGCATATGATGTCAGAATGAGGTTCATCTTCTTATGTGTAGAAAAATACCATTTTTAATTTGACAATTTTTATCATTCTGTGAGTCACAGACATGGCAGGATACTATATAAATGTTATTTTCACAGACTTGGCAGGGTACTGTTTAAATGTTATTTTCACAGACTTGGCAGGGTACTGTTTAAATGTTCTTATCACACACTTGGCAGGGTACTGTTTAAATGTTCTTATCACAGACTTGGCAGAGTACTATTTAAATGTTCTTATCACAGACGTGGCAGAGTACTGTTTAAATGTTCTTATCACAGACTTGGCAGAGTACTGTTTAAATGTTCTTATCACAGACTTGGCAGGGGACTATATAAATGTTCTTTTCACAGACTTGGCAGGATACTATATAAATGTTCTTTTCACAGACTTGGCAGGGGACTATTTAAATGTTCTTTTCACAGACTTGGCAGGAGACTATATAAATGTTCTTTATCTTGGGGTGCAGACTTTTTTGACAGTAAGAAATTGTTAATAACATTGGAATATTTATAGACAACTTTGAAATTATTAGTTTCAGGCACCTCTTTAAACCCACAATATTAGACATTAAATATTTTCATTCTCACGTGGAGATGGTGCTGTTTGCTGGTTACTGTTCTTAAAGAATGTCTTCCTTGCCTTTTCATGGACAATTTTTATAAAGCCTATAGGGTATTGCAGTCATTAAAAATTGTATAAGTATTTTTAACTTCATCATCATGAGTTGTACGATGACATATTATATGAACTATTAAAAACATTGAAGCTATAATTGATGTTTTATGGTGGTGCAAGAAAAAAAGGGTTTGTCGTTTTTTTATAGATAGAAAGAATAGGTCCCATTACTGCTTTAGTTATGAGAACATATAAAAAAGAGGGGGAATTATTGGTTTCACATTCAATTTTAAATTCAATAGTACTTTTCAGTTCATTAATCTTCTGGAAGAAAGTTTAAAAATCATGCAGCTGTCAACCTCTAATACCCTAATGAGTGAGAAGATTAAAAAGCTGGTGGTAGAGAAAAGCCCCACTACCTGAAAATGAATCTTGCATTTTCAGAAACTAAATGGATAGCTCTGGTGGTTTTTCAGCGTGTTCTTAAAACAGAGATGAAAGTAGGCTTGTTCACACAAAGAACTTGTTCATTGAAAGACTTGTATTTCTTTTATAGCAATTTTAATAATTTTAAGAGAATGTTAAAAATTCACACTACACCTGTACAATAACAGGTTCATTCAAAATATGAAAGTCACAAAAATTCAAAATGAATGCAAGTATGTCAAGTATAAAAATAAAACATTCTCAGAAAATGTACTTGGCCTGCAAGAAATTCTTTATCGCATGTGATGGTTTCCCATAATCATACATTTAGAATTCAGTGAATGAATT